TTCAAATCCTTACAAGCACGACAATTTCATCTAGCACAAATCTTGTCCAAAGAATGTCAAAATCAATAATAAAACTTGTAGTACCATCAAGTGTTTCCAAAAGAGTAAAATCTTGATAGGATTAAAAAAATGATGATTTATAAAATTTATTATTTATTAATTTGAATGACAAATAATCATATATTTTCAAATATTTTTTATGAATTACTCATAATTCCAGTCAACCCAGCTGATAGAGAGGATCATTAACTGTGAACCTAAGTTGTTATCCTTGTAAAATATTGTTTTTTCTTTTGAAATATTCGTATATTCTCAATAGAAAATGAAATGAATGGAGTTTTACGTCCTACTTTTCTGCTTCATGTGGCTAATGAAGACGGGCAACGCCATGTAGTGTGCAATGAGGGAAATTTGTAAGGACAGTGGCATAAGCCTACTCTTTTTTCGATTTCCAACTGTCGAGGGATCTTTAACATGCACAGCCTGTAACACACAGGGCCTCCGTTTATTATCCCATCAGAATGACTATACACTTTTTCCGTGTCAGCCTCTCTTACCTGAATCACTGACAGGGGGAAACCAGGATGAAAAATCTGAAGGTATTATCTTGATAGGAATAATCCCTTGTTAAACTTAATATTTTTAAAACACTGTACACATTCTTTATTATAGAATAAATACAGTGATCTATCATCTCAAATCTCAAATATCACAAAAAACATGGATTTCAATTTACATGTCTACATCAAACCTAATATATTCATCTTTCTTACAAGATCATTTTTATTTCATTATAAGTCAAAGCTTCAAGTTATCAAAATAAATTTTTAAATGGTTTGGAATGTGGCCACCTAGGTTTTCTTACATGATGTTTTTACTGTATTTATCCTAATACAGGAACATATATTAAAAGGCACAAGGAATGTTATGTCTGAAAATACTGTAAAATCTAACAGACACAAGTAGTTATATATTCTGTAGTCAATTAACTTATTCAATGTTCAGATGTTTTTGCGGCCTTGCAATCAATAAATAAAACAAGTACTGACGATCCAAACTACAAAACAAAACTAAAATCCCAACAATATATTGGTGAAACATTGGTAGCAGCTAATGAACTTTTCGCATGAGGAAGTATATCAATTATAAGTGATTAAGTATTTCATTATGAAGAGTGGTATCAAGTGTCTAGAAGAGTAAGCATACCCTGCCTGGCACAAAACTGCTCACATGAGGAAGTATATCAATTATAAGTGAGTAAGTATTTCATAAAGAAGAGTGGTATCAAGTGTCTAGAAGAGTAAGCATACCCTGCCTGGCATCTAACACTGACTTTCTCTGATTTGTAAACTTACATTTAAAAAATATTTAACAAGGTAGATTTATATATGATACATTTGATTTCAGTATACATGGTTTACATTGAAAATACAATTTGACAACAAAGTCATCAAGAAGATTAAGTGTATCTTTCACTTCTACACCTTATTGAGCCCTCTGAAGACTGGAAATGCCATGCAGTGTGCAATGAGGGCCATTTTGTCAGTTGTCTTGACAGATATTTAGACCTTTTTGATTTACAGCTAGCATTAGGTTACTTTATATGATTCTGATCTTCACCCTTACAGAATTAAAGGTGTGTTTATTAGAGTAACTACAGTAAGTTATAATAATTATATAATATAAACTCTTTACATATGTTCTTAATTACCATTATCTTCTCTCTTTCACTCGTCTTCTCACTTATAAATAATAAACGAATGAATGAATGAATGAACACAATATGACCTATATTTGTCTAAATACAACACAATATGACCTATTTCTATCTAAATCCAACACAATATGATCTATTTCTATCTAAATCCAACACAATATGATCTATTTCTATCTACATCCAACACAATATGACCTATTTCTATCTAAATACAACACAATATGACCTATTTCTATCTAAATACAACACAATATGACCTATTTCTATCTAAATACAACACAATATGACCTATTTCTATCTAAATACAACACAATATGATCTATTTCTATCTAAATACAACACAATATGACCTATTTCTATCTAAATACAACACAATATGATCTATTTCTATCTAAATACAATACAATATGATCTATTTCTATCTAAATACAACACAATATGATCTATTTCTATCTAAATACAACACAATATGATCTATTTCTATCTAAATACAACACAATATGATCTATTTCTATCTAAATACAACACAATATGACCTATTTCTATCTAAATACAACACAATATGACCTATTTCTATCTAAATACAACACAATATGATCTATTTCTATCTAAATACAACACAATATGACCTATTTCTATCTAAATACAATACAATATGACCTATTTCTATCTAAATCCAACACAATATGACCTATTTCTATTTAAATCCAACACAATATGACCTATTTCTATCTAAATACAACACAATATGACCTATTTCTATCTAAATACAACACAATATGATCTATTTCTATCTAAATACAACACAATATGACCTATTTCTACCTAAATACAACACAATATGATCTATTTCTGTCTAAATACAACACAATATGATCTATTTCTATCTATATACAACACAATATGACCTATTTCTATCTAAATACAACACAATATGACCTATTTCTATCTAAATACAACACAACATGACCTATTTCTATCTAAATACAACACAATATGACCTATTTCTATCTAAATACAACACAATATGATCCATTTCTATTTAAATACAACACAATATGACCTATTTCTATCTAAATACAACACAATATGATCTATTTCTATCTAAATACAACACGATATGATCTATTTCTATCTAAATACAACACAATATGACCTATTTCTATCTATATACAACACAATATGACCTATTTCTATTTAAATACAACACAATATGATCTATTTCTATCTAAATACAACACAATATGATCTATTTCTATCTATATACAACACAATATGATCTATTTCTATTTAAATGCAACACAATATGACCTATTTCTATCTAAATACAACACAATATGACCTATTTCTATCTAAATACAACACAATATGACCTATTTCTATCTAAATACAACACAATATGACCTATTTCTATCTAAATACAACACAATATGATCTATTTCTATCTAAATACAACACAATATGATCTATTTCTATCTAAATACAACACAATATGACCTATTTCTGTCTGAATATTAAAAGTAAAATGAACTCAGATGAAAAGTGACATGTAATTTCCTGAGTTAGACAATAAGGACGTCATAGCCTATTGTTTTATTGTGAAAAAGGAAATTTGTGAATAAAATTATAAAGTATTTGAATGTGTGTAAAGTTTTATTGTTTTTCTATGAATATCTCATGTGATTAACACAGCTTGCTATCCAACTAAAAAACCTCCACTATTTTTATCATTTTAAAGAAACACTTCACATTTTTATGTTTGACCAATTATACTTTAGTCTCAGAAACCAGAATATTTTAGCTGAGCTAATCAGTAATAATGTTCACTGATCACCATCAAAATTTGAGCCTTCAATTCCATATATGTCCAGAAATAGCTGCATTTGAAAGCTAAAAAGACGATTTGTCATTTCTTGAGACACTGCCATATAAAGAAAAGACATGTTTACGAAAGGAAAATGAAATTACTAGTTTCAGATATTTGTGAAGAAATTTTTACACATTTCTAGTACTTCTGAGGACTATTTACCTATATTCCAGACCCAAATTTATGCCTGAAAATGGCAAATCTGTCCCTTTAAGGTAGTTTTGGGGTTTTAGATATTTACAGATGCAAATTTTGTAACCCTTGTATCATATGTAAAGCACCTCAGGGTATTTTATTTTAACAGGGTGCTATATAAATGTTCATATTGTTTTATATTGTTATATATTTATAATCCTTGAATGACAGTAGATAGAACATTAAATAAATATAACAGTAATATAGATATACTACTCCTTCCTTTAATTTCTACAATGTTTCAATTCACATACAGGAATCTTTATCACTGCTTGATATGAGAATTGAAACCTTAATGCTTAAATTAAAGAGGAGTAGTATATATATATTAGTGTTTTATTTATTTTATTTTATATACTTTGTCATCATGCATCTAAGTGTTCAAGTATAATGTAGAATATTGGTCCCAACACCATAAAAATAATCAAATATATAGAATTAACTAAACTGAACCATATATATATATATAAATTTTACCAAGAGAAATGATATTACTTTAATCTTAGGCATACATAATTTACTTTTTAATATTTCTATCACACCTTGTTTTAGCATGAATCTTTACTTTACTGACCTAGGCCAGTGCTTTTATGAGCAGTGGCGGGGACAGGTTTACATCCGAGGGGGGGGGGGTGAAATATCTGAGATTGCCCGAAGTTTTAACCTAGTTATGAGAAGTTTGCCCGAAAAACTTGCTTTCGAGGCTGCGAGGGGTTGGCTCTGTCACTGTTTATGAGACTATGTATTTGATATTTATGTTATATTATAGTAAAATAGACTGACTATTGTTATATAAAATAATTTGATAGTAAAGATCTAGAGATATAAATATTGTTATAAAGAGACTGTTGGGTAATAATGTTAGTTTATTGCATACAAGTGTTCTATACAATACAAAAACACAAAAAACAGTAAAAAATACATAAATAAACCAAGTACTAACGATCTGAATTGCAAAATGAAACCCAAAATCCAAAACAACATATTGGCTTAACTTTGGTAGCAGCTCAAGAACTATTCCCATGAGGAAGTATATCAATCATAAGTGAGAAAGTATTTCATAAAAGTGGTATCAGGTGTCTAAAAGAAAAAGCATACCCTGTCTGGGATTACCCTTATCAAACATGATACATGTCCAGAAGAGTAAGTATTTGATAATGAAGAGTAGTATCAGGTGTCTAGAAGAGTAAGTATTTGATAATGAGAAGTGGTACCAGGTGTCTAAAAGAGTAAGTATTTGATAATGAGAAGTGGTATCAGGTGTCTAGAAGAGTAAGTATTTGATAATGAGAAGTGGTACCAGGTGTCTAGAAGAGTAAGTATTTGATAATGAAGAGTGGTATCGGGTGTCTGGAAGAGTAAGTATTTGATAATGAGAAGTGGTACCAGGTGTCTAAAAGAGTAAGTATTTGATTATGAGAAGTGGTATCAGGTGTCTAGAAGATTAAGTATTTGATAGTGAGAAGTGGTATCAGGTGTCTAGAAGAGTAAGTATTTGATAATGAGAAGAGGTATAAGGTGTCTAGAAGAGTAAGTATTTGATAATGAAGAGTGGTATCAGGTGTCTAGAAAAGTAAGTATTTGATAAAGAGAAGTGGTATCAGGTGTCTAAAAGAGTAAGTATTTGATAATGAGAAGTGGTATCAGGTGTCTAGAAAAGTAAGTATTTGATAATGAGAAGTGGTATCAGGTGTCTAGAAGAGTAAGTATGTGATAATGAGAAGTAGTATCAGGTGTCTAGAAGAGTAAGTATTTGATAATGAGAAGTGGTATCAGGTGTCTAAAAGAGTAAGTATATAAGATATAATAAAACTGAAAGTTATAAGGAATCTTTCTGGCAATACTAATGCTAATAATATTATTAATTCTATGGTATAAATTACACCACAAGTTATCAATTTATTAAAAAAACACAATGATGAACAAAATGAAGGAATAAAACAATTAAAATACAGGTCGATACTTACTAAAAATTAAAACTAACACTTTTAAAATCCCAGACTAAACAAAGCGTTTTTATTGATTGTGAGAAATAACACTAATCAAACGAAATTCAAACTAACACGCGTAATTAATCTCACTTTTTCATCAAGAATTTAACAAAACACAATAAACAAACAAATAATACTATTACATTCTTTTCTTTTAAATTACATCTCAATTGTTGGTGATTACTAGTTATAAGATTAAACAGAGTTAAAAACTGTCAAATCTTACAGAAACTAGATTTCTCCTAATTTAAAACAATACAAATACCAAAATATTAAAATTCAACCTATAAATTTGTATCAAAAACTCAGTGATTCTGATTGAATAAAACTAAGAAAAGTAAACAATATATACTAAATATTTCTTTATCTAAACTATTTCTTCTTCAAATTCAAATCCATGTGTATCTAGAATTATCTGCATTTGAAAGTTAAAAAGAGTCATCTTTTTTTGAGACACTGCCATATATAGAAAAGATATCTATAGTAATCGACAGTAAATTTAATAGTTTGCAGAATTAGATATATAAATATTCCTTTATCTCAACTATTTCCCTTTAATATTCAAACTTGAAATATCTGCAACTAAACTTTGTTTCTTTTCAAGACAAAATAGGAATTAAAAGAAATGAAAACTTACCAAATTATAAACTGAATGATTCTTTATCCAACTATTTAAAAACAATGGAGAACGATCTATATTTATATATTTCAGTTTAACTGATTGTCACGCAGAATAATTAATATTTTAAATACAAGTTAAAACAATATATTTCAACAATTCACACAATTACATAGATTATAAAACATACACTGGAGAATATTACTATATCACGACACACCCAGAGTCTACGATTTCGCCAAGATCTCACTAAAATCTCACCTACAACAACAAATCACGAAGAACTCAGTGGTTTATTTCATATATATATAATATTAAAGTCTATTTCATTAATAATCCCAGTATAATACTTGATACAATCTTATACAGATCAAATTAAAGGCATTGTAAAGAGGTTTTCTCAATTTTTTATGTGTATCGAGGACACTGATAGCATCAATTTGCACCATTCCAATTTGGAATTCTGTGGTTCTAGCAATTCTACTAAAACTAAGTGTTTTATTTCGAAAACCTTTTTACAATCCTTTTAAACTTTCATAAAGTTTCATAAAGAGATCACTGTCTTACAGATTAAACTGGAGTTTTACATCCTACTATTCTTATTGAGCTTACAATTTAAAATGAAGTTCATTAGCTGCTACCAATGCTTCACCAAGGTGTTGTTCTGGATTTCAGGTTTCGTTCTGCTGTTTGGTTTATCTTAGTTTATCTTCGTAATAAGTATCCAATCTAAGTTTTATTTCATTGATAATAACCACAGTATAAATATAAATTAGTATCTATATACTAGTAGGACAGAGAGAATACTAAACCAGTTTCCACTGAGAATTGTAAAGTAAAGCTAGATCTGAGCTAACTTAAAGCCAGCTGTTTTGCTGAACGTGTTGTGTTTACACTGAGTTTAATTGGCTCCAGAACAACTTTAGCCTCGATCACAAAGTCGCACATTAATGACAACTCATGTTGTACAAGACTACTGTTTAGACCAGTAATAAATACAAGATACTGGAAAGACCAGTACGCCCCCTATTGCTCAACGAGATAAAGCTGGCTTTTTGCGTCTCCACTGAGTTAAGTGTAAGCCGCCTTTAAGCTAGCTTTCTGTTGTCCCCCGATAAATAGACGTACACAAAAAGAGAAGTTTTCGGTTCCAAAAACGTAAAGGAAACACACGAATTTCCAGCTTTTTCCTTCAGTCGAAACACAGTTTATATATACCTATTATTAATTAGATTGATTTACTGATACAGATTACTAGCTTACAGATTAAATTATATTAGAGTTTTACACCCTACAAGTCTTCAAGTGATAGTAAAATACAGTCATAATATTCCGCTTGAGAAATCGACTTAATATGCTATGATACGTTTTTTTTTCAGTTAATTATGTCCTCCATGATGTAAATATTTCAGTGGAATGTATCACTATCAGTAGCATAGTTTGGGGGAGGGTCACTGGGCCATGACTTCCCCCTCAGGCCTGTTATAGGTTTGCTATTTTGAAGTGAAAAGTTGTCTTCAGAGGGGCCTCTGGCAGACTCTAAGACCCCTGGCTTCAAGGTGCTTTGACCCTTTGGTTCTTGACTCGGACAGAAAAGTAGGACGTAGAACTCCATTCCTTTCATTTCCTTGATTCAGAGAGACAACTCTTATTTTTTGCCCCCTTTCTCAGACATTTTCTATAAACACCCCTGATTACCATGAAGTAAGGTTGTCTGAATCTAGACAGTGTCTGAAGATGGTGAATCCATACAGTGTGTCTGAAGATGGTGAATCTAGACAGTGTCTGAAGATGGTAATCTAGACAGTGTCTGAAGATGGTGAATCTAGACAGTGTCTGAAGATGGTGAATCTAGACAGTGTCTGAAGATGGTGAATCTAGACAGTGTCTGAAGATGGTGAATCTAGACAGTGTGTCTGAAGATGGTGAATCTATTTTTAGTTTCAGACAGTTTCTATCTTGTCTCAGACTCTGTAATTATATTTAATATCTAATTTACCACCAACCAAAATAACCTCTTAATATATTTCATTACTGACAGTTTCCCTCAATTTACTATCTATATTTAACAACATTTTATCATTAGTGAACTCTCTGAAACAATATTTACTATGTGGACTCTCTGAAACAATATTTGCTATGTGTATTGCTATTTGTAAGTGAGTAAGTATTTCATAATGAAGAGTGGTATCAGGTGTCTAGAAGTGTAAACATACCCTGTCTAGCACCTTCATAAGTATATCAATTTTATGTAAGTATTTCACAATGAAAAGTGGTATCAGGTGTCAAGAAGAGTAAGTATATCTTGCCTTGGTATAAACAATTAGATATAACAAAATAACAGTACTGTGTCCAAAGAACACTGAGCTTAAAATATGTGAACCTAAATAAATCTGGGCCTAATTCACTGTGCCTAAATGTGATCCCGCACATCGTATCAGGTATTAAGTTGCACGGCCCAGTAATAAGCTGACAGTGAAGTATTTAAAGGGGACTCAAATCTGGATATTAAATTGACTATATCTTCTGAACGGAGAAAGCTATTGAGATGGAATTGGTATCAAAATGTATCTGATGATGCCAGGAATCCAAATATACTAATACCTGGTTTGATGTGCAGGTTCACAAATGACCTGTGCTGAAAGACAGTGTGACTTAATCACTGTGCTTAAATGAAATGTGCCTAACTGTGTCTAAATTACTATGAGCTTAAAATTGAGCTTCTTAATTGAAGATGTGGCTAAATCACTGTGCCTAACTTACTGAGCGCTAAAAGAGTGCGTACCAAAAGTACTGTATCTATAGGAATTGATATTAAAATACTTGCCTAAATGACAATGAATCACGTATTATATTTACACCATATTTAACATTTTATTGTATAGTTCTATAACAAGTTGACCCGTAGAATGACTCATAGTTTAGTCTACTCTCTTACTCATACTTATAACTCACATATTCACTGAATTTATTTCTTCAAAATTTACATTTTATTCACAGCTTACATCTAATAACTTCATCAAAAAACAATTTGTCACTCATATTCCAAAACATAGTTTTTTTCAGTCCCTACTTCAATGATACTTTTATCATGTCATCTCTTTGATCTACATCACTAACTGGGAAGAACTGTGGAGCATCATGACAAGATCCCAAAAAATAGAAAGCAAACCAGATAGATGCACCACACTAGAGGAAAACTGGGTTTGAAAAATTTATAACATCATCTCTACCTATGCCAGGACTGACCGTGGAGATTCAGATTAAGAAAGAAAAAGAAACAACTATATTTTATAAGAATAACAACTTAGATTCACAGTTCAGGATCCTTTCTACTAGCTGGTCCTTGACCAAACCTCTTGATATTGATCTTCCTTAGTTTATCCGTACCCATTTACAGCTGGGTTGACTGGAATTATGAGTGAAGATGAGTTAATCAAAGTCATCTGACTATCACACTCAATTAAGAATTGAACCCACAGCCACCATTAGCTCCACGTAACCATGGAAATAACTCATGTAAAGTACCAACGCTCTGCTAGAGAAACTCACAAAATAGCATTGAGCAACCCACTGAGCCACACAGGCTATCCTCCAAAGATTCTAAAACAGCAAATAATCAAACAGTAACATTACAAGGAGCTACATAGAACTTTCAACTTTATATAATATTAAAAAAGAATTCATACCTTTTAAAACTGACACAACAGAATAAAAACCACTATGAACTATTTCTATAAAACAAAGGAACTATATTGTATTAAGTCTGTATTATAACAATTATT